CTTCAGTAGGTGATTATGTAAAGGGATCATATCATTATGTATTTAACATTGCTTATTTAATGCTCTTTTTCACAAATGTGGCAAAAAATAGCTTTACAGACAGAGGAATATACAATTAGACTGAAACACTTATTTTTTGCGATTACAAAAAGAGTGGTGAAACCTGTCCTGTGGGATTTAAACTAACATTTCTGACACTTTTATACAAAATGTTATACAACAGGGCACTTGAGTTTGCAATCTAATGGGATGATGTACATCAAGGTCACAGGGAATAAAAGAATCCTACAGTATGAAGGAGATGGAAAATATATTTTGGTTGTATGGTGGAATAAAAGGTCTGCAAACAAGGAAATTTGCTAAACTTGAGATGTCAGGAATTCACAAGCCTATTACAAAATTTAGGCTAATATATTGAAATTGGAGGAAACAACCCCAATGCCAGCTAGGTTTCCTGATAGAATTTTGGCTAAATAATTTCTATAGAATGGCCCAGAGGGCAATATGTAGAAAAGAACAATGATGTCTGTACCACTGTAGCACACATCTCTTGGGAAGTGTATGGATGTTTATGTAATATCTATTTATTTTTAGCACCAATGAAGACAAACAAGCTATTAAAAAAAAAATTGAGACATGTTCCTATAGGACTCCGAAAAGTTTAAAGCACAGACTTCTAGGGAGACAGCTTTTCCTATACTTCCAAATACATGAACATGAACAAAAGTGACTAACATGAAATTTAAGTAATGACAATACTCAACGGTGTCAACAAAATAATATAAATATAAAAATATCCGGGCATTAAATTATTCTTTAATTTATATACAGTGATTTCCTGATTGCCTGAAGAGTTCATCAACTCAGCTTTTCATAAACGTATGTTTACCATTAAATACCTCACCTTAATTTGTTTCTGAAATATGAGTTACGTGTATCAGCAACACCGAACATGCCGATACATTTACATCACTTAGATCTATTTTTTATGATACAATCGGGATTTATGATCTCGGACAAAAAAACAGGGGGCTAATGCTCATTGTTCAGTTTCTACCAAAACAACTTTTTTTATTGCACGGGTAGTTATTCACTGTAGCGAAGATTGAACTAGGGGTTCAGGGGTTTATTTACTAAACTAGAATTGTGGAGAACAGGCCAGGGAATTTTAGTTCAAAATGGAATCTGTAAAATAAAAATACTCCAACTCAATTATCAGCTGGGCAAGTTAGGAATAACATTTTTTTTTTGTTGTTTTTTTTTCTTCCGGTTTTGTGAACATAGTCCACAGTTTTTTCAATAAAAATGTCGGAATATAGAAAAAACAAACCCCCAAATAAACCCAGAAACAAACTGAAACAAAAACAAAATTGAAATGGCAGTAGAAAATAATCTATAGACCCAGTCATAAAAAAGCAAATGTAGCAAATAGTTAAGAGACAGACTTAGTTTCATAAATGTCAGCAAAAAAAACTGTAAATAGCCCTTGTCTCCCTCATCAATTAGTTAAAAAGTACTTGTGCAGATTAGTACAGTTTAGAACACTGGGCCATAGACGGTTAAGTCACCGAACTGAAGAGCAGGGTCTGTAGCAAGGAGCAGGCAGAAGAGGGACACCACTAGAGGGCTACCCACTATTAGCGGCTTTGGGGGGGGGAGCACCAGCATAGGGTCCGAGCATCAGATAATATTGTAGGCAGACTGCAATAATTGATGAAAGCCAGAGCGAAGGTTAAATCTGTGAAGGAGCTGGTCTGTATTTGCCTGCCTACACCAGCCAGCTCCTTCACACTACAAAACTTCAGGAAGCTACTGAAGGAGCAGGATATGAGATTTTAAGCCCGTCCCTCCTCAGTAGGACTTCATCACAAATCACACCGTGTTGGAGCTGCTCTCTTCTTGAGGGAAGAGGAAGGTGATGCAGCTTCCAGTAGTCAGTAGCACTGGACCACCAGGGTAAGCGGCTTAACAATGTATTGTGCTGGGGGAGAGGGACAAACAGGGATGGGAGGAGAAAGAGAAATGGATATTTGAGGACAGGGGGAGATGACGCTATGTGGAGGTGAAGAAATTGGTGCTGGAAGGGGATAGAAGTTGAGAGGGAGATGGGGTTGAGGGGAAAGAGGGAGATGGGGTTGAGGGGAAAGAGGGAGCTGGAAATGAGAGAAAGGGTGATGAAACTGGATGGGAGAGAGGGAGATGGAGCTGAGTGGAAGAGAGGGAGATAGAGTCGAGTGAGGAGAAAGAAGGAATGGGGGTGATAGAGGGAGAAACTGCCTGTAAGCAGAGGTTTCCATGGAAGCACGGCTACAAACAGAAGGGTACAGCCCATAATCTGTTAGGGGACCGGCCATGCTTTGGGCACCGGCCCAAATTGCGGAATCCAATAATAGCATGCTCTTCTGACAAGGTAGAGCCTCTCAACATGCACAGCCGCACTGGGAGGAAGTGATGTCCAATCTATTCTTTCCATTGCTCAGAGGAGGTCATGTAGGAAGACAGAAACCGGCCTCATGGAAAAGGTAGGCAAAGAGCAGGGTGACTAAAGCATCTTAAATTTAAATATTTGTGTTTGTGTGTTTCATTGTCAGTGCTCGTGTATGTGTGTCTGTCAGTGTTCTGCCTGTTAGTGCGTATATGTGTGGGTCTGTTAGTGTTTGTGTGCCTGGCAGTGGGTGTGTGTATGTTTGCCTGTACATGGCTATAAGACATGTGTGTGTATGTTTGTCAATGTGTCTGGCATTGAGAATCACTGTGTGAATGTATGTCTGTCTGGCACTTTGTATATGAGTATGTGGGTGTATCCCCATGAGTGTGACTGTAATGTAATATTTATGTGTCACACTCATGGGAAGGGATACACATGCATGGGGATGTGTGTGCATGTGTGTGTTAATGAGGGCTCAACAACTGTATTTGTAATGATCCATAAGTGTTATGATGGCAGCCCTTTTGGGGGGGACGAGTTTTAAGGCTGTGCGTGCGGAGTAATATGCCATCACCCACTGGCAGGAAACTGTGCCATATGCAGTGGGGACACAAGAAGAAATACCCACCACTTGGCACCAGGGACCTTGGCCCATTAATTTTAGTATCGCTTGCATTATATTTTTATTATGGGTGCCAGAGAGGGACTCATGTCCAAGTTCCAAGTGGGGGACTCATGTCCAAGACGAGAGTTGCCTCTGCAAGTGGGCTTTGGGTTGTATTAATCTCTCACCCACCACTTATTGTGTGAGGGTTACAGGAAAAGAGTTGAAGGAGCTTCACCTTGTAAATAAAGAAACAGTAAAGACCCCTAATGTAGTTCAACTTTCTCTAGGAGGTAACTAAGGTCCACTCTTTCTTATTTTATAAAAGTAACAATTTCATGAAATATGTAATTTTATAAATGAGCTCAGTTAGCTGGGAGGTTGCTCTTACTTACTTGCTTTGAGTGCTTACTCAAAAAATATGTGAAGGCACTCAAAGAGAAGCATTCTATTGGAGAATTGCAGCAATGTGTATTAATTTGGAATGTTCCAATAAAAAAAAAAAACTGAATGATATCCCTACCCCACCTCAATTTTTTTGTGAGTTTATGAAGAAAACCCAATTTGCTCTTGGACAGCAATCATATGTTTTATTCACCTTTTTTCCATCATTATCATTAAACTTGAGGACGCACGTTGAAGCTTACAAAGCTTGATGCATTACATTGGTACACAGATTCCAAAGCTGCTTACGGGATTTTTTTCTCCACCCAATGAGCACATATTGTCTGTTCCGAAGATTATACAACCAATTCCGTTTGGGTTATCTTGGGTGGATTGAAAGAGATTAAAGACTGAGTTACGGAGAAGTTATTGGGTTTGTCTGACTAACGTAATCATCTAGTCTACGTGAAGCCAGGGTTCACACAACGAACACATAAAAAATGTCTGTTATTTGTCGATTACCATAGCAACGCATCTGTAACTAAGTCAGGAGTCAATAACAAATACCTAAGATGTTACTCTACCTGATAGCAGAAACATGTTTGTAAAAACCATCGCAGCCTGCTGTTTAATGCAATATATGTCAGACCGTCTTACAGTGAACAGGTTAACAAAAGAAGACTGATTAATTACGGGGGCTTTCTAATGGAAAAATAATCACTTACAGCTCTCTGTTCATTCCACTTAAGGCATTCTGAACTCTATACAAGTGTTATGTTACCATCTGGCAAACTTCCCTTTATTAGAGCACATTTTAAATTTTTTGTAAAAACACACACAAATAGCCATTTTTAACCTCTTCCTTGTCAAAAAGATGATGCAAATTATTGGCTAAAGCAGTTCCATGTCTAAAAAGAGCTATATACAGAGTTGACACGGTAACGGTAACTAAAATAACATTGGTTTTAACATTGATGTGAACACATTCGGACAGGGAATATACCAAATTGGATAAGGTTTTCATAAACTGCAATATTTACATTGCAGGGTTAAGTCCTCCTCTATTGGCTGTCTACTAGACAGCCACTAGAGGGACTTCCGTGAGGTAGAGGGGCACTGCGGGAACCTGCTGTGCCAGGAAAACAAATATATTTTCCTGGCACTGGAGAATCCTTTAAATATTTACTCAGCCTCTCTGCAGCATCTCTCCAATCATCTAAAAAGGAGAGAGAATGGAAATGGAATGGTATAAATCAGGGGGTCGGGGCCTAACAAGCAAGCTGAGCAGTCGCATGATAGCTGGGGTCCCGCTTTGCTTGCCAATTATCTAAGAATACTCACTACAACCCGAGTTCGGGGTACCCTGGTGAAACATCTGATACTTTACCCAAGTGATTTTGGTGATTGGGGGCCCAAGGTGGTTTAACGCGTCCTGTAGGTGACATAGCTGGGGAAAGATGGCCGCTCTCCTCGGCCATGCAACGAAGGTGAGGATCCACTGACATTCTACCAGTACCCCCTGGACTGGTGGGGGTGATCCCGGTTCGCTCCTGAGAGGCAACCCACCTGCAATGAACCTACACAATGGTGCTGTACGAGCAGAATGTAAACGTGGTGTCCCGCAAAATGGCAAAAGCCACGTGTGCTCCCAAGCACAACGAAGAGAAGCCTGACTTGCTGTCTAGGTTGGATGACCTATTCAATGCCTTCTGGACAAAACTGGCACTTAGGGAGCAGCAGGCTAAAACGCACAGACCTGAGGAGCACTCACCTATGGTTGCCAGCACACTCCATTCACAGATGCGCACGCCCTCGAACAGAGAGGGCCCGAACATGGCGCCAAAGACGGGCATGCAAACCCATATGCCGAAACCAGCTCACAATCATGGAGAACTGCAGCTAACCCTGCTCCAAGAAGCCTGTCACATCCAGATCTGTCTATCACAAAGAGCCTGCTTCACAGCTCACCCCGGGTTTCGGGACCACTCGGACAGACCCTACAAGCCTCAAAAAGCCTGCCTTTTCTCCACAATATATCTGCAGGTCTCTCTGCAGGATGGCTACTGAGCCAGGCAGTGAGACTCCTGGCTGGACTGTGGAGTACACCAGTGGGGCATTGGCTGACCTCGAGACGCAGGAGCCACCATCTCACGCATGGTCTTCCAGCAATGCACCCAAGATACCTATACTGTATGAATAATAGTCATTCAGTTTACCTCCTCCTGCACTCCTTTTTTTTACTTTTCTCTTTCTGTTCTCAATGATGGACTCATACCTAGCTTATGTGTTAGGCCTCCTGTGAGGATTTTTCATCAGTCACAGTCCCTATAGTGCGCATCTCTATACTCTGATAGTCTATAACTAGCCTGCACTGAATTCATGTTGGCCTGCAACCATTCTTCCTAGTATGTCTTATGACATTTGTTAGCTACACCGCTCACATTTATTCTCGTAATTGTCTGCTAAAATGTCTCTCAGCCTGTATGTACCACTAGGCACGCAAAACTTATTCTTACTAAAAAAAATGAGCTGTATTACCAACTGCCCTATACTATATAACTGTATATACTAATTCTCTTGCCACTGCTGTTGGGGCAGTGCAAGACTGTCTGCTCCTCTGAAGCACAACAAAAAAAAAAAATTTAAATGAAAAAATGTATAAATCAAAGTCAGGTTCAAATAAAAAAAATTAGTATGCCAGGGAAATTGTTCAACATCTCTCAAAAATAAATCACCTTCAATACAACTCTGTGAAGTCTTAATTCAAGAGAACAATTATATTGTAGTATCTGAAAGTACAACTATTATAACAATAATTTGACCATATGCTGAGGCTGCAAATAAGTGATGGAGGGGATAGCGAGGCAAACATTGATATGGGGACTCCTGCAGATTTTCTTTAATCAACAAAAAAGGTTTGTCAGAGACAGAAGTGACTGAACGCATAGCTTAATTTCACCATAACCACTGCATAAACTTTAGTGTTTATGGGGCTTGAAGTGTCCCTTTAACTCCTAATTCCCTTCAGAACTGCCAGTGCCCTGGTGAATGGTCCTTTGTCTCCTGTTGTTGCAGAGAACTGGAAGAATTACTGATCTTCTACAACTGGGATCTCATACTCTGGCACTCCAGATGTTGATGGCCTCTCAATTCCCAAGAATTCTTTGAATGCAATAGATGGCCAGCGAATCATAGGAGTTCTGATTCAGTAACATTTAGGTGGACAGAAGGGGAGATGCCGGCTTTTCAGAGAAGCTCATTATGATAAATCAGTTCAACCTTGCGTGTGTTTCACCTGTCAACGTCCATCCTTTTATTAAAGACTCATAATGGTGGCCACAAGAAACTGACAATGTTACTTACATTTGTTTAGTAGCAATGTATATGCTCCTTAACTGAATACAGTTGATGGGCAAACTTAATCCGGATGAAGGAAAGTTCTACCAAGAGACTTTGAAAAAGAAGCAAGTCCTTGACAGATGTTTCAGTGGACAACAGGAGGAGCCTAGGAGTGTATTAACTCATTCCTCCTTCCAGATGATACATAATTCAAGTTCTACTCCTGCAGGCAATGACCTATTCTTATGCAGATGTTGGTTGCTTGAAAGTCAAATGTAAAAGACAAAAGCTGACACGCACTAGTGCAGTTAACTCCATTCATTATGGACTGTACTTTCCTTATAAAATGTTAACATTACAAAGAGGAGATTTAGCTATAATTTGGTCTCTGTAGGTCCTATGTAAACAACAAAACAATGATTATGCTCTAATACACCCTGAATACATTTTGAACATTATTTGGAAAGCTGAGTTTTAATTGAGAACAGTTTGTCAGTCTGATATGTAACATTATTATTTGTATTTATATTAAACTTAGTCTGTCCTGTACACAGAACCAGGGCAAGGATTTTTAGCTACACAGGCGAAGATGCATTTTGTTACCCCTCCCTCCCTCCCCACCATGCAAAAAAAAACAAAACGTCTTCATCTGTGTGTCTTGTAACCACTCCTTTCGAATTTCTTAGCCACTTTAGTGTTTCATACCCCCTCTTTTGAATGCCTTACCCTTTTTGTGCTTTAGTGTATTTTATTCCCTCTTGTGTGTCTCTTCCTCCCCCCAGCCCCTTTGTGTGTCTCTTACCCCCAGCCCCTTTCTGTGTCTAATTCGTACCCAGTCCCTTTCTGTGTCTCATTCTTACCCAGTCGCTTTCTGTGTCTATTTCTTACCCCAACCCCTTTTCTGTGTCTCTTTTCCCCCCAGTCCCTTTCTTCATCTCTTTCTCCCTTAGCCCCTTTCTGTGTCTCTTTCTCCCCCCAGTCTATTTTTTTTGTCTTTCTCCACCACAGTACCTCTGTGTATCTCTTTATCCCCTCAGTCCATCTTGTGTGTCTCTCCCCTTCAGGTCTCTTTGTGTGTCTTTCCTCCCAAGCCAAATAAACATAGATATTCAGGCAAAAATGCTTACATTTACAAAGACAGAAACATACAGACACACAACCATAAAGGCACACAGGCATTGCTTTTCAAGCACACCGTCCCAAAGATATACAGACACACAGTCATAAAAGGCACACAATCAAACACAGTCATACAGGTACACTGTCATACAAACACAGACATAATCATACAGAGACTAACAAACACAGATACATACAGACACATTCACACAGAGCCATACAGAGCATACACACATACAGAGACATACCGGCATACAGAAACATACATATATACAGAAACACATATACAGAGACATACACAGACATACAGGCATACAGAGAAATACATACAGAGACATATATGCATACAGAGACATACAGACAGTCACAATTACATACTTACATCTGTTCAATCTGGTCCCTGGGATGCACACTGTCTGGCTCTGTGGAGTCCTGTCCTGCAGCCCAGCCCCATCAATGCGGATCAAACTTGTTGTATGCGCCTCCACACAGCCTGCTGCATACACCAGGGTAGGAGGCTGGGCGGGTGGTAAGAGGCTGGCATCCACAGGCAGTAAGACCTGGGCTGCGCTGAGGGTAGGAGGCGGTTGTGCTCGGCCACGCTTCAAAAAGTAACCGGCTGGAGAGGAGTTGAGTGTGCTTCCCTCCTGCCAGACAGCCTGACATTGCGCCCACCACGAGAAGGGATTGAGCAGCCAATAACTTTTATATTAACAAACCAATTTCAGTGATATTACATACAATGAATGCTTTACGTAAAGAGATTTGTATAGAATGTGACATATTTTGAATGAGCTCCATTTGCAGCCTCACAAAGTTGGGCTCTTTCTATTGCATTGTTCGAAACATAAGTTAATGCTCGATTCTCTAGCGCTCTAGTGTTGGAATTTCTACTCGGATATTCTCCTTGAGCTGCTGAAATCTGTTCACGTACACCCGTTCCTTCAGATGTCCCCACAGGAAGTAATCGGGAGCTGAAAGGTCGGGCAAACGTGGCCAATTTAGCTAGGAATTTCTTGAAATGATCTGCTCCTTGAACAGATGACATTTTGAAAATAAAATTCCACTATATTTGCACGTTGTTCCTCAGTAAGATGAATCTCCCAAGACTCAGTTATAATATGTACCTGCTGATCTTCTAGCAAATACACTATTTACCTGTCAAATCCTACTCTGAATTTTGGCCTAGCCTGTATAAGTACACAGTGCCCGCTCTTAACTGTCAATGTACAAGGAAATGTACTCTATTTATGTGTATCCAACTCCAAATAATTCCCTCCGCTCTCAGAGTACATATACATTGCATGCTATGCTTGAGTGACAGTTCACCATGACTTAGTAAACCAAATATTATTTCACCTTAAAGAATGATCCTTTTATGTTAAATAATCCATACTGTATATATTCTGCAAAAAAACAAGTTTACCCAGCAATCAAAGTCTTTTGCCTGGAAGACAAAATCCATAATAATCAACCAAATAAGTGTCAAATAAATATACTTATTTAAACATTAACATAATCAAACTACTAAATCTCTTAGAATATTATACTGTGCAGACTAGAGGCTGGAAATTCTAATCCATTTAACGGCTCAAAAAAAAAGAGATTTATGCATTTATAAATCACAGCATTTGATTGGCCAGTTCTCACAAGACACATGGTCTGCAGCTCTGCGCGGTGTCTCAGATGGCTGGCCGGGCAGATAGGAGGGGCCTCCCACCTGGCTGCATACTGAGAAAGCCGCCGGGCCCCCTCCTGGTGTCGTACCCTCGGTCACTGACCGAGGACTCAACACAGTCTGCCCTTAGGCGGATTAGGCAGCCGCAAGGCCCCAGCAAGAGCAAGGGCTTAGGCGGCTGCCTAAACCACCTAATTATAGAGCCGTTTAAAGGACACTGTAGCCGCTAGTTCCACTACAGCTTAATGCAATTTTTTGGTGCCTATAGCTTGTTTGGTGCATATAGCTTGTTTCTGCATATAGCTTGTTTCAGAAGCAGTTTTCTTCTGCTCCGTAAAACTTTCTCTTGTGACTGTCACTCTGACAGCCACTAGAGGGACTTCCTGGGTTTTGTCCTGCAAAAATTGCATGAGCAACATTCAGCATCCACGCTTTATAGACACTGAACGCTCCCCATGGAGATGCATTTACATATTGTCAGTGGAACCTGAACACACAGACTGTATCACTCAAAGATAATCCATATACCGGTCCTTGGACTGGCCGGGTTAACAAACGAACAAAGTCAGTATAACAAGCCGAGTTTAACAGGAGTACAGAAGTCTGAATAATCGATATACAAACCGAGGTCAAAAGAGTAGAGAAGACAGCATAAACTTATTGACAAGAGCCAGAATATATCACTAAACAATATCACAAGAGGAACGCGCTATTGGGCTACCATAAACCACAACAGGGCAACAAAGAATGGGAGAAGTAAGTATATATAAGCATCACTTAATTCTGATTGGTCCAATTACTCTTGGAATTGACCAATATTTGTAGAATGTACTTGACCATCGTAATCTGAGCTCTGAAATCATTTATATGTGCTGAATTTGGTCTACCAATAACCTCCACATTTTTCCCTATGGATGGATGTTGTCAGCCA